AGGTTAATCTGGCCCTAAACCTACTTTTCTCAATTGTACCTAAATCCATGAAAGAATACTGCTGCTGTAAACCGCTCTAGTACAAGTTCAAAACACCACTCTGAACACATTACTCATGTTCACCTTCAAAGGGCCAATATGGCATCCTGACTGCAGCCACTATAAAAATAAATATATCCTTCCAACCACTCTCTCTGCAATTAAGGCCTGCTAACAAAAAGTTACGATCATGTTTTTCTTTATGAGAAACAAGGAAAACGAGCTTCAAAGCAAACTTAACATAACAGCATAATTGTAGGCCACTGTGTCACTTTTTGTCGTTCCAAGAGTATTTGAGTGCAGTACAGAAGTTAAAAGCCATAGCAAGGATTTTATAAATACTGAGGTCCATGAGTCCAGCCTCTCAATACAAACACACCTTCTCAGAAAAATCTTGACCTGACACCAACAGAAGTACGTTGACAACCAAGAGTTTAGTGAAGGTAAATTCAACTGTCTTTGTCAATCTCAGCAGAATATTAATAAACAAAACGTTATGAATGTTCATTAAGATGTAGTTTCTTTAATTAAAACTGCAGCACTGTAAGTGTTCATAGTATTCCACTTGGACATGCATGGAAAAGTAAATATATTCATATAGTACAGATATGTACAGTACAAGGACAATTTTTGAAATCATCAGTCCAACAATGGGAGTGTGAAAAACCATTAATACACTATGTGCAACTTTCACATTGTTGCATTTTTCATTAAAATTGCTCTTTTCACAACAATTCTAGGGTAACATTAATATGCCATAGACCATAATGACGATTGTTGTAGTGTGACAATTAAAAAAAAGTAAAGTTAGACAAGTGGCAGTCAAAAGACATTACCAAATTCATCTTCAAAGATATAACAAAGGGGATATAATATTTCTGAAAACGGGACTAATGGCATTTTTCTGTAGAGAACAACAAAAAAAGAAATCTGTTAAAGAAATTAGTTTCTATATTCATCAGTACAATCAGAAGCGTTATGACAAAGGTTGTCTAGTGCTGAATATAGCACACAAAAAAGAAAACGAGAAATGACAGAAAAGGTGCCAATGACATGAATTACATGAAAACATGAAAGCTAAATATAGTTTGAATTTTCATTTCATATGAACAATCGTCTATAAGGGACTGCCGGCCAAATATAGTGCCGGCTCCAACGTACAACAAAATGCCGGGGGGTCGCCATTGGGACTGTAGGACAGGCGGTTCAGTCAAAGGTGAAAGTTATTAAAGTTGCTGAAAAACAATTTCCCATTTACGGATACAGTACAGAGAGGAGAAAATCTCATTAAAAAAGGGATCTGATATTTCTGAAAAGACCATGAGAACAAGAGAACTACAAAAACTTAAAATGAACAGAAATACAAAGCAACAATAAACTTGCATTATTTTAGTGCATAAAGACATGCCCTTGTGTTAATGGACAGATATCTTGTTTTTGAAATATCACATCTTGCAAATATATCATATCAGACAAAAGAGGGGGGAATAATATACAGGAAAAACAAGAGAAGAAAACCGCTTGTTTAGGTGTTTCTGTAAAAATATATTTATATCTTGGTTAAAATATCTTGGGTGGGATTTCTAAAGAAACTGGAGCCATTCAGAAACAGTCACAAGATATCTTAACTTTTTCCTCCCACAAACCTTTCACCAGTGAAGATGTCTTTGCTGTGTCTCTCCACCAGATGACAGACGTGCTGTATCATTTTAGTCGCTGAAAAGAGAATTAACCATTCATTTTAAAGGCTTTGAGGAACCAGTAAATCGTTTGTTCCTCGTTGGTTGTTTTTTTTATTCAATGAAATGAACAAATGAAGACAAATACTGTATATTTTTCTAAGGCTCCATCGTTTTTCACAAGCAAATCTGTGTATGTTTACGTGGGGATATCGGAGGCACCAATGTGATCTTAAGGCAAAATTATTAGACATTGTGTGTGAGACTGTGTGTAACAAGCAAGTGCAAGTAACAAGCAGTGATATACTCTAGATTGTGTCACTGTGACCTCTGAATCACAAAATAACAGTCAGGCTGTTTACCTCCTGCCCCAGAACAAGTACCAGGTGGTCTTTGGTGATTGAGAGATCTGATTTGTTGTCATTATGGCTTAGTTTAGGTTTGGTAAAGAGCAAAGAGACTAAGGGGTTCATCGC